TTAAAATCTCAATAAAATTCAAAACAATTAAAAACATCTATGCCCAATATAAAAACACATAAAAATATACAAACGTTAAAAACAAACTAAAAGCCCATATTTATTTAGAAGGCTAAAAGGCCTTTAAAAATACAAATCCCAGGATTCCATAGGATGGCACTGTTGCTGTTCTAGTCCTCCATTGACATTCTGGCTCCTATGGGTGCATCTACATTGTAGAAGTAAAGCAGTCTGACATTACTTTATCTGCTATGGACTCATAATACAGAATTCTGGGATTTGTAGTTTTGTGGGGGCACCAGTACTTTTGTCAGAGAAGGATAAAGACCATGTAAAACTACAAATACCAGTATCCCATAGAATGGCCCTGTTGCTGTTGTGTGCCTTCAAATTATTTCTGACTTAGGGAGATCCTGTAATGGGGTTTTCTTGGCAAGTTTCTTCAGAGGGGTTTGCCATTGCCATCTTCTGAAGCTGAGAGAGCATGACTTGCCCAAGGTCACCCAGTGGGTTTACATGACCGAGATTCAAACCCTGGTCCCCAGAGCCATAGTCCAATGCTCAAACCACTTCACCACGATGGCACTACAGCACTTCAAAGTGGTATCCAACTGCATTATTTCTACAGTGTAGATCAGGGATAGGCAACCTAAGGCCTGGGGGCAGGATGTGGCCCCCCGAGGCCTTTGGATTGGCCCCAGTCTGGTCCTCCCACCGCCGCAGCCCCCCGCTGCTGCCCGCCATGACGACATTGATTATTGTTGTTATTACTTGTTCTTGGGGTTTTCTTGGCAAAATCTCCACAGGGGTTTTGCCATGGCTTTTCTAGGGCTGAGAGAGTGTGCATATTTTTAATTTTTATTTATTTATTTATTTTAATATTTATTTATTTATGGTGCTTCAGCCCCCCAATTGTCTGAGGGACAGCAACCTGGGCCCCAGCTCAAAAAGGTTGCCTACCCCTGGTGTAGATTTTGAATGTCATTCATTTCAAGGAATTGTTGCTTATTTTGCTTATATGTCTTAATTTGCAATTTCAGATATTCTGAGATGAAAATACAACATACACATTGCGACGTATTAAAAGAAAGGATGGGTTTTACAAATATATTATGTCTTGTAAGTGCAAAAACCAATGCCAATTTGGGATGAAGACTGTGTACTCTATTAAAGAAAAGTCCTGACATATGTAACTTTCCTCATTACCCTCTAGGAAGTTTCTTAACAGTTTCCAAAAAAGTAGCCCTATTGATCTTTTGTAGAGGAAAAAAGAGGAAATGGGGGGGGAAGGTTCTTAAAGACTACCACATTTATTATGGCATGAATTTTTGTAGCATAGAACACACTTTATTAGATGCATAAATTGTTATGTAAAATTTCAGGAGCCAGTGTGGTGTAGTGGATTGAGTGTCGGAGTATAACTCTGGAGATCAGGGTTCAAATCCCTGCTCGGCCATGTAAACCCATTGGATGACCTTGGGCAAGTCACACTCTCTCAGCTTCAGAGGATGGCAATATCAAACCCCTTCTGGAGAAACTTGCCAAAACACCCCATGATAGGGTCACCATAAGTTGGAAACGATTAGAAGGCAACAACAAATATGCCAGGTATGTATACAGTACACAACCTGTCTAAATACCCTAAAAGGCACCAGATCCTATCTGATATTGGAAGCTAAGCAGAGTCATATCTAATTAATACTTGGATGGGAGACCACCAACAAATACCAGGTGCTGTAGGCTTTGCAAAACCGCCTCTTAAGTATTTCTTTTCAAAGAAAACCCTATGAAATTCATGGGGTTCATAAGTCAACAGGAATCTTCAAGGCACAAACATGCACATACAGTACACATGGTGGGAAAGAGTAGGATTGCTGACAGTGAACAGGGAAATGAGATGCCAAAAGTACTGACAGATAACTACATTATTAACAATGAGCATTCACAAACTTACAAACTTGATGGCAAGGAATTTAAATGATGATGTAAGTGATGATTATGGTAATTGGTAATCCAACTAACATGCATAATGTGGTAAGCCAGTTTCCTGATTTAAACTGTTGGTGACTGACTGCAATTGTAACACCTCCGTTTCTCCCTCGCATCTTTCTTTGCTCAACAATAGTTACTTTCAGAACAGAGTCTCCTGGGAGGCTGCACTGTTCTGAATATTGCTATTTCTGGTGTCAGATCTGCATTCATTTATTCTGTTATGGCAGGAATGTGAAATGTGTGGACTTGCAGTGTTTTCTAAACTTTGGTCCTCCAGATGTTTTGGACTTCAGTTTCCAGAATGCTTGATTGTTGACCAAACTAGCTAGGGCTTCTAGTAGCCGAAGTCCAAAACAACCAACATTTGAGAATCACTGAAGATGTAGCTGAACTGCAGCCCCCACTCTGCCTTTGCCAGTACAGCCAATGGTGAGGAATATGGGGAGTTGCAGTCCAAAAACATTGAGAGGACCACATACCAATTGCTCATCCCATTTTATCTTGAAATCCGCCTGCTGGCTCTCTTTAAGATGCAGAAGGGCACTGCAGACATATGGCGGCATATGTCACATTGCAAGATGAGAAAATGAATGTTCTACTGTAGATCACTGCTTCTCAGGCTGCTGTAGGGGGACCAGCAATTACTTTTTTCCAGTGTGCCAGGGACCAGTACCATATCTGTACTCACTGGCTATAATTGTTTTTTCCTGGAAAACTGAAATGGTCTATGGACCACCACTTTGAGTAGGATTGTTATAGGTAACATTATCAGTTGCTGTGAAGGCATTGCCAAAGTCAAAAAGATTTGTGTCAAGGTCTGCTCTCTGTCTTTGAATCCTGGTTTTCTGTCCTGTTGTTGCTAATAAGTTTAGTGAGTCTGTAATGAAGCATAGGCCTGCCACCCAAGAGGAGAGAAGCTATAATTACCCAGGACAAGCCTATAGCAATTTTATGATATCACTTGAGTGGTTTCAGCTGAGAGTTACAAATGATAACATATGATGCTCTGTCATTTTCTTTTCTCTGTCCTATAGTAAATTATTTCTGGGTATCAATGAGGCTGGGTCAATTTGTTTGTCCACTTCACTTGAGTGGTTATTATAGTTTTAAAATGCCTGATGTAAATATTAAAAATTTGAGTCTTGGTCCAACAAGTCTGAAATGTTGTAATGATATCATTAATATATTCAGCCATACAGTGAGCAAGGCTGAAGTCTGTACATGGTCTCTAACAAATCCCTGAATGTGATATAATATTCTGGTGACCTATAGGTTTTATTCTACCATCTCTAACTCAAGGAAGCCTTAAATCATAGCACTAACCAATGTACTGCCACATATTGTATCCTTGGAGCACTGACACATGAGAACATTATTTAAAAGTTACAGAAAGAAGTTTGCATGTACCCTCCTAATTATGATATATAACAGAGTGAATTTTTATGCTGAGTGCTTTCACTGTCTTACTGTGATTTGCTGAGGGGTTTGATAGTATCCAAAGAGGAAGAAGACCATAAATATCTAAGGACCTATAGCATCAAATTGAAATAATTACCAGTTTTGTCTGTTCTTAAATGATACCATCAGTCATAGTTGGATTATATGGTAAAACGCTCATGGTGTGAATGAGAGCACCAAAGTAGATGACAGGTCAACTGTTATGTTTTTTTTAACAGTTTAATCTGTATTGCAAATCAGAAAGCTGTATGGATGTCACCTGGTGGCCAATATAGCAATCAGATTGACTACATAACTGGAAGCAGGAAATGGACATTCTCTGCAAAAACAAGACCAGGAACAGATTGTGGTAGAGACCATGAATTACTAATATAAAACATTATAATGATGCTCAAGAAGATCACTAAATCAATAATTTTGCCAAAATGCAACCTGAAGAACATCTCTGCAGAATTTATAGATAATAATAATAATAATAATAATAATAATAATAATATAGATTTGCACTATTAAGCCTAATTGATTGGGAGCCAGAAGAACTGTGGACCAAAGTCAGAAACATTGTGAAGGAAGAATACAAAAAGTCACTAGTGGCAGCAAAAAGAAGAAGAAAAGCCTCAATGAATGACAGCAAAACTCTTAAAGTAGTTAAGGACATAAGAAAAGCAAAAGTAAAAGAGAACAGAAACAAGTTCAGAAACCTGAATGCAACCATTCAGTGACTTGTGTACAGGGACAAAGAGATCTACTAGTGGCAAAGAAACAGAAGATGCCAACAAAAAAAGCTAGAACAAGAGACCTCTTCCACAAGATCCAAGAAATCAAAGCTAGGGAACACACTACATGATCAAGAAGAAATAAAAAGATGGTAGAAACAATACACTGAAGCAGTGGTGTCACTAGGCTCAGTGTCACCCAGTGCAGTAACTCATGATGTCACTGGGGTGACCAGAGGTCCTCTCTTTCTGGGAAATGTCTTACATTTCAAACTATCCAGGAAGAATTCCAAAATGTCCTCCATTTTGAGCCTGACACAGTAACACCACATTTGCTGTTGACCTTCAAGAAATGTGTCTACTTGGCAAACTTGCTTGATACGGGGGACAGGTTGGATCCTTCTAAAATTGTTTTTCCTAGGAGCAGCATCCGACAAACCTTGCCCCCAGAGCTTAAGGTGCATTTCTTTCTCAGAGGGGAAAAGGACAGCAAACAGGCAATGGGCTGCTTCAGGACAGAATGCAAATGTTGATTTTTCCTCCTTAATTTCAGCACAATGGACAAATGAAGGAAACAATTTAAATGAAGATTCAGTCACTGGTTTATTACTCATAAAGTACACTTTTAAGCATTTGTCTTGGTCAGAGTTCTTGTTGCTGGTCAGCTCTATATTGTTATTGTTGCTGTGTGTCTCCAAGTCGTTTTTGACTTATGGCATCCCTAAGGCAAATTTATCATAGGGTTTTCTTGGCAGGTTTCTTCAGAGAGGGTTTGCCATTGCCATCATCTGAGGCTGAGAGAATGTGACTTGCCAAACACCCAGTGAGTTTTTGTGCTTGTCCAGGGATTCAAACCCTGGTCTCCAGAGTTGTAGTCCAACGTGTAAACCACTACACCACACTGACTCTCATAAAATGACCTTTATTGCAAGCCAACAAGGCATTTTAACACAGGTAAGTTCATCAGAAAAAAAATGGAGTACATAATAAAATACAGTATATGTCTGTAAATAAGCCATATGAAATGAATTTATATTTATATTAATGTTTTTAGCTTTTATTTTGTAATGTCCTACATTTTTCAGTGCCTTGTTCTGCTTTGTGGTTATGAAATTTGGTCACCCTGGATGTCAAGCCCCCAACATTGTCCTCCTCCCATACTACACTATATAGAATCCTTAGTAATTTTTTTTATACTGTTACTTATAAATCATAATTCCCATGTATCACTGAATATAATGGTAATATTCAGGGGTAGCCATTTAGCAAATTCAAACAAAAATCCACCAGTGATGTCTTGATATAGTGATATTGGTTGGCCAATAAATGTGTCACTGATGGGTTTGTATTGTGGTAATAGTTGTGACATAAATAACTAGAAAAATTAAAATTATACCTTCAAATTACAATTTTGTACACACAGCCTAAATGTATTTATACATACATAGGTTCATGTGGTTAAAATGAAAATTTGATATGTTTTTAAAGAAAATGTTATCAAAATACTATAGATTATTTAGAGATAGAAAGTTAGAGAATGAATCGGTTAAACATGTAATGATACAATGGGCTAAAGATTTTGGAGGGATACAAATGGACCACTGGGAAAGAACATGGAGTATGACTAATAAATTTACTTTGTGCCAAGACCTGAAGGAAAGCTTTCTAAAAATGATGCATAGGTGGTATTTATATCCTACCAAATTAAAGAAGATATATAGAGCAGGAAATGGCTATTGGTGGAAATGTCAAAAAAGCAAAGGAACATTCTTACATATGTGGTGGGATTGTAAGCTTGTAAAAAAATATTGGAGAGCAATTTACAGAAAGATTAAGGAAATATTACAGATACAGATCCCATGGTGTCCTAATTTTTTTCTCTTAAATATGACTTATGAAGTAGAAAAAATAATGGGAAAAATGGAAGAATTATGTTATATATGGCGACAATCGCAAGAATAATATTTGCTAAATATTGGGAAAAAAGAGAGACACCAAGAATAGAAGAATGGATTGTTCGACTAAGAGATGCGATGAATATGGATATATTAATGGCTTTAATGCAAAATAAATCGGTAGATAGGAGAGAAAAACAATGGGAAGTGGTTAAAAATTATATGACAAAAACAAAGTAAATAATAAGAAGATTCTATATGTATACTTGGCTATTTTAGAAAAACTAATATAGGAAAGTGGGAAATCAAATTGAAAATTAGAATGAGAATGGAAAAAATATGGAGAATGTGTGTTGGATGAAAGATACTGCAGTCCTATAAAAAGAGATGTTGTATAAGTTTAAGAAGGAAACTCTTGGGTTAATGACAAGATGAAGTTACTCGGGAGAAAGAAATTTGATTAAGATGGTCAATACTCAATGCTAATATGCTAATGCAGGGGTAGGCAACCTTTCCCCTTTAAGGGCCGAGGGACTTCAGCTCCCAGAAGCCTCAGCCCTGTTGGCCAATAGTCCCATGTTGGCCAATAGCTCCTGGGATTCTGGGAGCTGAAGTCCCTCGGCCCTTAAAGGGGAAAGGTTGCCTACCCCTGTGTTATGTTTTTGTTTATATTTGTGTTGTTGATGTATGTTATAAATTGGTGTAGTGTATATGTTTTTAATGTTTTAATGTTTTGTAATACTTAATAAACTAATAAAAAATAAAGAAAATGTTAAAAGAATAAAAATGTTATTTTAAATTTTTAAATTAATTTAAATTTGCCATCCTAGGACTACTTACTTGAGAGTATATTCCATCAATTAATTTAATTTCTCAGTTTCTTACTTTATGCTGGTTGGTGCAAGGTAAACTACAAACCATCTAGAAACTTGGGCAGGGGGACATTTACTGGACCTTAGCCTAAGTGGTCATGATGACAGCAGTAAATTTAGGATGGTGGTATCCAGTGGTGGGATTATAGGAACAGAGTCTCAGACAAAAACCACAAGGACATCTAGAAAGTCACCATATATAATGCCATAGTGGTAGGACACATAGAAGTCCCCAGAGTTACTCTACCTTAGTCTTTGATTCCAACCAACCGTGGTTCCAACTTTTTCACACATTCTGACGTTACTGAGTTTAGAGTACATCCTAAATCTTGCCGCTTAACAGTACACATCTAGAACATGCACCCAGTAAAACTACAGTGTTTGAGGTCCATATGCTATGTGCATGCTTAACCAAATATGGTTGTTCCAGCTGTAAATATTACTGAACTCAGAATGAGTCTGACAAGCAGCCACTAGAAAGAACAGTAAGCCTTCTATAAATCAATGTAATATTGTATAGTAGTGGAATGCCCACAAGATGGCAATGTTTGCCTGCTGAAAAGTTTTCCACTCTGCACCAATGTCTTTTATGAAGTTTCCAAAAGCAGTTTTACCTCCAGTAAAAACAAGGAACAGTCCCGAGATTAATATTCTCGGTTTGGCTTGTCTTGGAATTGTCTTTCTAAAAGAACCCTCTACGTGCTAATAGTTTGCCAATGTTAGTAAAACATGTACCGTAAGTAGTTTTACAATATTTTAAATCGGTGTCTAAAGGGGCTTTTCTTCCAAGAATTCTACATTTAATTTTTTTTTAATTTTAGGTATACAGGCAGACATACCAGTACATCTAGCTCAAAAGTATGAAGCATGGAGATTGGCAAATTTTTCTGAGGAAAAAACTTGGCTCTAGTACCTGATAGGAAATATAAAATGTAGTCCAGACTCTAGATTCCCTAATACAGCCATTTTTCTAGTCCTACCATAGATAATCCCTGAAGAACCCAATGATGTTCTCCAATGCTTCCAAAATGAAAAAAAAAATCTTTCTGGAAAATGAGGACACTTTTCCTATGAAGTTAGTTGTGTTACAACAATCTGAGTCTTGCCAGAAGGGATTACATATTAAATTATGCATTTATTTGTTGGGGGTTTCCTACCCTCTTTTTGAGATTTTTTTAATGTTCCTTAATGTCCCACATATTTTTCTTTGATGGAGTTCATGATGCCAGATGTATTGTCTTTATGCTGTCCAAATCGTGAGGAATACCTAGTTAACCACAAAAACCAAACAAGAAGTCCTTAAACCTTAGAGAAATGTTCGTTCCTCCAAGTATTTTGAACTTTAACTTCCAGAAGTCCTAGCCAGTATGGTTAGTGTTCATGAATTCTGGGATCTGAAGTCGCTAACATCAGGAGGATCAAAGGCTGAGAAACACTGTTTATAAAGGTCTTCTGCACGTTTTATTCAACAGTAAGTCCCACTAAGGCTTATTCCTGGATACTACTACTACTAATAATAAATAATTTTATTTCTTTCCTGCCTCTCTTCAAGGCTTGAGGTGGGGTACATGTTAAAATACAAAACAATCAAAAAAAGAAAACACTTAAAATTGTGCTTTTCAAGCTAGATGGCTAGCTGAGGTGCCATACTGGCATTTTCCCTGCCATATGCCAGGGACCAGTACCATATTTGTACCATATTCACATAATTTAATGGAAGCTGCCTGTGGACTGTAGCCAGTGGCTCATGGACTAGCACTGGTGTGTAGACCACCACTGTACTCACATAATACTGATCATCTCAGGAAAGCAGCCAACTGCATGATGAACCTATTGCCGAAATTTAGTCTCATGGCTACCAATTCAAACATTTCAAAGTTCACTTTCTGCATTTGTGTGGTGGGGTGAAGATGGGTGAATTTACTTCAATAACAGTTGAATTATATCTAAATCCAGCAAATAGATGTGCAAGTTCTCTGTCCTTGTTGAAACCTATTCATCCCTTCCTTGTCAAAAGATTTACAGTAAGTGAAATAAGCAGAAGCAATAAAAACAGCCAGTTGTTTGTAGGAGTTAAAATGCTATGTAATAACCAGGATGAATAAATAGCAACACTTCAGAGTTGCACACTCCAGCAAATATTTATTCTTTTTGAGTATGGTCTGAATCAGACTTAAGGACATTAGTTTAACAGAGTGAATTTAGGAGTGAAGTATCAGCAACAGAGACCTCCTGCATAAACTCCTTTGACCTTAGAAAATTATTATGTATTAATTTTTTTAAAAAAAGTTGTACCCTGCTTTCCCACTACAACACCTTGCAAGGCAGCTTAACAAATATGAAACAAAAGTGACAGCAGGAAATAATCAGTAATTTAGCTGACTTTTTGTGGGGGCTGATACCTAGTGACTGCCACCAAGTCTAGACCAAGAAAATGAGCAACCGGGTATGAGGAAGGATGCTTTCTCCATGTTTAAGCCCCAAGTGGAAGTACAAGAGTCAAAGAGCAGAGTTGATACATTGCGTTACCATGACCAGCACTGGAGCTTTGGTCTTTGAAATCCCAGTTAACTGAATTAATGTGCATGCTTCTTTGTGAGAAAAGTGCGCCCTGCACTATATCTCAATTTTGTGGCCTTCCAAACCTCCCAGACCCTTCTTCAATCCTTTTTTTTTGGGGGGGGGGGTTGACTGTTTCACCTAAAAATTACCAAAACCATAATACATGTTTGCTTCCTTTTGTCTCCTACATCCCACTGAAACCCTGCAAAAATGAGTGAAAATAAGCCAAAGTAGAAACCAGTGGCCCATTCACACTACATAATTATGGTGCTATTAATCCACTACAACTACCATAGTTCAATCCTATGGAATCCTGGGGTTTATAGCTTGGTGAGGCACTGGAGTACTCTGGCAGAGATTTCTAGTTGCCATTCCCAGGATCCCATAGATTAGAACCATGGCAGTTTAAAGTGGAATAACAGAACTATAATTTGGTAGCGTGAATGGACCTCAGAAGGGATGTGAAGTCACTTCTAGGTTGCTGGCAACACAAGTGCAACCTGCTGGGAATGCACAGGAGCAAACACTGGCCCCCAAGCCTGGCACAGTTGCCCACTTCTTTAGAAATTTAAGAGCA